GCCCCCGTGTCCGCCAAATTTACCACGTGGATCGTGTGATCCCCCTTCGTCATGGCCTCCATTTCGTCGTACACGCTCCGGTCCATGACGAAGCTGAAGCCCTCCGATCGTCTGTCCTTCGAAGCAAGCATGAAGTAGTCCTTCCCGCCGGAGAGGTTCTGAAACTTGTGCACCTTCTTGAATTGCTGCATCAAGTTGTCCCAGTTCTTCCCGCAGTCGACGGCATCCCTCGTCACTCCCGTCGCCTGCAACCTCACCCGCACGTCCTCCCACTTCCACGCGGCCGTTTTCATGCGGGGGAAACTAGTCCCCAGCCCGGCGATATACAGATCTTGATCCCTTTTCGCCCTCACGAGCGAGACAATGTCTCCCACCGACCAGAAATTCCGGCCGCCCTCACCATCGTCATCCATGTTCTTCGCCCGTCTCGGTTTCGTGGCGGGGCCCTTCTTAGCACAGGATCCGCCTCTCGTCGCCCTCCTCCCAAGCGGCCTAATGTATGGTAAATCGTCGGACTTGCAACCGTCGTCGCCGTCCACGTCGTCACACCCCTGCCCCTCATCAACGACCGCGTCTTCCACTTCGTCGACGTGCAGTCGTTGCACCCCTCTGGTGATCGTCTCCATTTCACCTCGATGCAAGTCCTGCCTGCATTCTTCCCAGACCTGCCTGCCATCGCGTTGCACGTCCGGAACTCCCCCAATCAAATCCTCCGCCGCCTGCCGCCCTCGAGTAGCGCCGGGTCCGCTTCTCGCCGCAGGCGACAAGCGCATCCAGTCCGGTCGTTTACGCGCACTAAATCCTCCACCGACGCTCGGTGTTGAGTTATTGCAATCGCCTCCACCGTCGCGAACCGATTGAGGCAGACCGCCGTCTCGTGGGCCGCAGACAGCGCCTTGCGTGTTCTCCGTGCAATCCCCACCCGGTGGGGGATTGATGATCCGAGTGTGCGTTGTGGCTGCTCCGCTGCTGCTCGACAGATGAAAGCTCAGATCGACTGCTGCATCGCCATCGTCATCGCACAACCCCTCGTTCAGAAGTGACGTGTAAGACCACGGCGTCTCCACCCCCCTGTCGCCGCCCAGTCCTGCGTAGAACCGCTTCCCAACGGCAAAGTCGGCGACCTGGCTTCCCCCCCCTCGTCATCCGACGGCGGCAGAGGAATCTAGTGAGAAGGCAGGTGCACATACAACCTCGGGTCGTACGGCTGCTTCGCCACCGACCCCGCACTGCGTTGGTGATTGATAGATCCGCCGGATGTGCCTGCCGGTCTGCCGTTCGACAGCCGTCCACCCATCCTGTCGGCCTTCCTGGGAGATCTCCTTCTACGAGACGTGACCGAGAGGAGGCCGACGAGACACACGTGGTAGAAGACAACTGCGAGAAGCAGCAAGACGACAAGGAACAGCAGGGGAAGCCTGTGCAACAGGTCGGCCATGTAAGGGCCGTTCGAAGGGGATGAAACCGACGTCGGCGGTGGACAGTTCAACGAACAAGGTCGTCGAGACAAGGAAGATCGGTGGAAGATCTGTGCTCGAACGTGCGAGGCGTGACGGTAGTGGAAGAAAATGATGATCCTGTCGAATGACTGTCGTCGCCGAACGGGGAGCTGTGTACAAAAACTTTCGAATTTCGGACCGTTGTCGACGATCGCCTGCCGGGGCAGACCGCACGACGGCGGTGGTCGTCGAGTCGCGCGGACGGACGGAGGTCTCATGCCGCCAGTTATCGTTTGGAGCCGTTGGGACGACGAGCAGACTTTCGAGGCGAAGATGTCCGTGCTCCCTTTCGACGGACCACGTCTGGACCACCCTCCAACCGAAATTGTGCGTCGATGCATGCCTTCGCCGCTCCGAATTTCGCGCTTCCTTGTGTTACGAGGGACCTCGAGAGGTCCCTTGGGGTTTAGGGAAAATTGGCTGTGGCCACAAGGACGCCACAAGGAAACGTCCTTGTGGTGTTTTCACTTTTTGTTTCGACGATCGTCACCAAGGATAGGTGTAACGATCATTTCCTTGTGGATTTCGTGTCCTCAAGAAGTGTCTAACGAGGCCCTTAGAGAGAGAATTGAGCATGTCTTCCTTTAATGTCCTGGTACGGTGTTATTGTGGAGAAGGTGGGATTGTGTGTAGAGAGAATTGATAGGGATCGACTGGCCTTGGAATTGGAAAACTATCCTACTGGGATATTGGAATCCTATGGATATGAATCCTTCTAATTCCAAAGTAATTTTTTTTTGATATAGGGCGGAAGGCCATTCTCTGGGCCATTTGGCACAAATGATGTGTTTTTGAAAGAGAAGAGGTTAAACTGGAAGGAAATGATTTAACTAAATTAATTGTGTCGTTTGTGCAAGCAGAAATACGCGCGCAATGGTCTTTGGTTAAAACTAAGTTACCACCGATGCATCAAAAGGGAAATATCATTAGGTGCATTCTCAAATTCAATAAAGACTGGCTGGGAGAATCTCAAGGAAGGACTCTGGGAGAAGTGATATGGCCAGGAAAGGAGGAACAGGGCGAAAGTCTCAAACGGGATTTTTTTCTCAATTGCAGGGATTGTTTTTCTCTCCCCTTGGGAGCTACTCTCAGAGCTCCAGAATTCTTTCCTGACCCTTTTCCACCGTCGGCCTTATTCCTAGTTGACAGGCAATGGTATGCTTCGTGATGGGCATTAATCCTTCTCAAAGTTCTTTTTGATCTCTCCATTCTCTTCAAGAAGAGGGTAGAAAAAGGAAGAAAGGGTAGAGCTAGCAGCTAGCTTTGGAAGGTGTTTTCTGGCGTTTATTATAGGTGAAGAGGTTGCTTGTTCTGATAACTATGTGCTCTATTTGTATATCCAAGGGACGCTGAACCCGTTTTCCAGCAGGTGAAGCTACCCACCAATAGATGGAGCGTTTTGAGAAAAAAAAAAAAAAAAAAAACCCTTCTTCTTGATCCCCACTCCATACCACTTTTGCAAGCCAACCTTCTCTTTCCCCCCCTACCCATGTGTGCAAGGATTTTTGGGAAATTGAGTGTGGGGACATAGACAGAACTGATATCCTTTGTGTGGTTCTACTTTAGTGAGACATGGTCATAGCCGCGTGGGAAAGAAATAGCGCGCGCTGCGTTTGTTTAATCCAAAAAGTATCTTTGAACTTCCATGCGGGCTTCGCGTCCTTATGAATTAAGGGGGTACACAAGTGGGATGTTGTTTTCGAATAATTATTAAGTTGTGGCACCGTTTGTTACAGAGATTGGAATCCGTCGTTGATGACCTCAGCCTGGTCGCTCTTTCCTTGTGTTTGTCCTCGTCTCGTGCCAAATACTTGAACCCCTTTTCCCGATAACGCTCGGCGAGGCGACAATGGCTAGAGAGTGTTGGGTCATTGAGTTGCCACCGCCGTCTGCGGGACTAAAATTAATTTGTTAAAAGACAATTACAATGAGCACGAGGGAAAGTGAGTATCAATAAAGACAAAACCAGTGCCTACGAATCATGAGCACCTCATTTCGGAGGGGGAAATAGTAGTGCTCGCCGATCTTGGCAACGGCTTCTTGTACGTCCCACTCATATACTACTTGAATCCTTTCCTCGCTATACGAGAACGGGTGTGACGGGGATATAGGAAGTCGATGCCCATTTGAATCGGGCCAATTTGTCCACATGGCATAAGCAAGGCTGATTGTGTGTGTCCAATCAATCTCTTATTCGATCAAAGGAACAAACAAACACCACGCTATCCAGTACCTTTCGTCCACCCTACAAATCGATCCGAGGTGTGAGTCCACGCAATCCAATCTGTCGAAAGAACAACCATCCTTCATTCGCGCGAGTAGTTAAGCATGCATCAAACTCATCACATGAGATTTCTCAATCATTTTCGTCATCAAAGTATCAACTCAATCGATGAGTATGAGTGAGAGATGACTCATGCATTAACCATTGGATACCGAGGTGCAGAGAGAGAGATGGGATAAGACGGTCTGATCTTGCTGGCCTATTCAAAATCAACGATATGCGTCCTCGCGAGATCCGATTGGATTCGAAGAGACGAGTAGGATTGGACCTCAGGAGTTGGTAAGGACGAGGGAGTTATCAGAAGATTGAGACATGCATGAAGAAATCATCAAACAATAAAGAAACGGACGAAGTTGTAGTTTCACCGAAGAAACGGACCGAAGACAAAGGAGTTATTAGAACACCAATGGATATGAGAAATAACACCAGCAATCAGTCGTGAACTTAGCTTTCAATATACGAGGAGGAAGCAAAGATCAAAGGAGCGCAAACCTTCTGCTCTCTGATGATGGCGGCCATCCAACCACTCGCACACATACACCTTCCTTACCTTAGTACAGGCGATCCTGGCCGCCACAGATCGACCTCCACAACACAACAATCGTCACCCTGCCAGCTCAGCTTCTACACCAACTTGCCCACATCCTACAGTCCGTCGCGACCACGGGAGGCAGTGCCACATCCCTGCAAAACTGCAGTCACCTCATCATGACTTTTTGACTCGCTCTACACACACATCATCTAGCAACGAAGTCTCGGAAGTCGGCAACTGGGTTGAGAGAGCGTTTTTCGGACGCGCCTGCGAAATTTATAGTTGCGAAAAGGAAGACAAAAGTTGCAAGGAAGGAGATAGAAGATAGGAGATAAAAGCTTTTCGAAACCTCGCAAAACTAGTGATTGATTAATTTGTTGATTGACTGATTGATTGATTGATTGATTGGTGGGGGAGGGGTCCTCCCCCCCTTCCACGGCACATCCACACACACGAATACACACACACACACACACACACAGATACACACACACATGCACACATTCCTACTGTCCGTTGGATATCACTGCAATTCTTTTTTTATTGAGTTCCTGATTTTTATTAAATGATGAGAGACGAAGCCCCTATTTTTTATGATAACAATATAGTAATATGCCTTCATTTTTTGCCCGAAACCCGGTTTTAGTTGCACTAAGAAAGGGACACCAGGGACAGGCTAACCACCCCCCAATGATTGTTTTTTTCCATAGACTTAAGTCGAAAACGGGGATTGACCTTAGAAGGGTATCTGCTCAAGATTTTCAATGTCGGGCGATGAACGACTGTCGCTATGAGTTTGTTTGAATAAGTTGACGTAATAAAATTGAGGTCTTTGCAAAATTTTATTCAGACCGGACCCACGACCGAAAAGCTAAGACATTTTTACCTAAATCCGAATGCATGTGGTTGTGAGAGCGAGGGCAAAGGTTGGTGAAGTGGCCAATCAGCCTTGCGTTTGGCCAGGTGGCAGAGGCATGTGGTGGTTTGAAATAAATAATTCAAATTTATTTTATTCAAAATTGTGATGCGAGGCTGCTCATCGGCTCTGTTCAGGGTTTCAGTGCTCCAAAGAGTGGTCGAGTTGCTTGTGTGGTCGTGGCAAAAAAAACGCGGGGGCTCAGAGTCATTTATCCCAAAAATTGTCCTCGCCGAAACCCGAACTCGTGCCAAATTGGTAAAGCACCTATGTCCGATCTTTACGGATAGGCACACGTCGCTCCAGGGGCCGATGCGCTCGACATGTGACCTCGTTGTCGGGGATAACGGCTTCCTACCGTTGTCCTTGGTGGAACGAAACTCGGTTATTTTTATTAAATTATTTTGATTTCAAACTAGTATCTTTTAAAAATAGGCATGATAACTAACCGTTATCAAACCTACTTTTAGAAGATAGCTTGATCATTTTTTTTTTTATGAACGCTACTTCCTTAGAGGATAAGATATGATTTGATCATCTTCGACTTACCATGACGGAACACTAGGAAAGTTTAATGTTTATATATATACTAACAACGATTTTATGGGTTAATATTTGATAGATCTTACGAGTCATTTCAACTTCTTAATTTTTTGCCATCCCACTTGCATGTAAATATTTTCTTTACCGGATGGTTGAAGGTTACATGACACCTGCAGCGGAGGCCACGGGTAATTTGACCGCTTCGGTCGAAAAAGTCGACCGCAGCTGAGGCCAAAAGGTTTAGTTTGCGGCCCGATTTTAAGATATTTTTTGTTTTGGGTATAAACCCTAGGTTACCAGTCGTCCGATGGCCGGACGTCTCCCCCAACCATCTGGTAGGGGGATTGTCCATGATCCCGGACAA